GCAATGCAAAGCCTTCATCCTCAAATCGTGTTGAGCGGAGCCCTCCCGTGCCTTTCGTAACGCACGCAGCATGTTGCGCAGGCGTATGCTTTTTGAAAGCGAGGCTATTTGCAGGCTGCTTAGGGTGGCAGCGGCAGCTGGTGCAAGCTATCGTTATTCTTGACCGCCACCCCCTTTATTCTGTAAGACTTATAATTTCCTAGTGTTTATAAATTGGATAATGTTCTCATCCGCTTCTTTCCTATGGATGGTAGCGACGTTTGCATAAGTTTTGCCTACATGCCTACTTAAGAAAGTTTTTATGTCTTCCCATAAAGTATCCAAGTAGCAATTTTAAGCTTTTAGAGTATCTCAAGCCTATGGTAATCAGAAGCGTCTTGATGTGGAAGCTAAACGATTTGAGAATAACGCTGCAGCGCTTGCAAAGCAGTCGGAACAATGGCTGGCGATCACCGAATCACTTAACCATGCCCTCAAGGTTGTCAAGTTTTCTTTAACATTAAAAAAAATCATGAAGGACATGTTTGTTCGTCACACATGTAAAGTTACTTTAGGAGATTGGTGACGTAGAAAATTGGGCTAAAGCCATTCAACACGACATGACGGTCATTTCGACAACGTTGCAACGGGTTTATCAAGGTAATACGATATCTGAACTCGGTAAGCTAAGTTGTTACACGAGATAAATAATCTTTCTTGAACCACCGTTTTCTTCATTTATCACTCATTTTAAAATGATCTTTCTTGAAATGCTAAGATAATTGTTCTATGAAGCGACCAAAAGAATTGCCAAAGAGGAACCACAAAAATTTCGACTGACTATCACAAACCAGAATGAAATGACCTCTCTGAAAGGTTTGAATGTGTCTACCTAAACGACGGCTGAAACTATAAAGTCTATGAACTCTATTACCATCAATTCAATCGCAGTAATAAAAATCGATTTGTATGAAATAATAATAACGGCAAAAATGGTCACATTTTGGACGCCATCTTTTGGCTCTTACATATACAGATGCAAATTAACTGACAACTCTTGAGTTCTAAACGACTAATAGCAAAACAGTGGAAAGGCAAAAAGAGGTCCTTGTTCAGCACAGGTAAATAGTACATGAAATTTGGGAGCCATTATTTAGAATAGCACCGCACTGTATATTTCTACTATAACTATATAAAATAAAAAATATGAACAAGATACTGTT